TGTATGAATAAGCCAAGTTTTGCTGGCTCAGCCACCCACTGATGGGCATTTCAACCAGTTTTTACAAGTGAAACCCAGCCACATCGGCATCCATGACATCGAATCAAGATTGCACTGGGGTCCCAAGTCCAGGAGTCTGACCCTCCCCGCAGACCCTCCTTGCCTCTTGGTGGGTGATTTTTGTCTGTAACAACAGTTTCCCAGATTTTCCACTRTAGCACTCCCATGAGGTGCCATGGCCAGGCTCCCTGCCAAACGGGGACCCTGAGACTGGGGGATGAGGCGACACTCCCGGGCCCACAGGCCTTGTCCCTGTCCCCTGGTCCTGCGGTCTGTGCGCCCCTCACTCACCCACCACCATGATGTTGAACTCAAACCCCATCTTCATGGCCTTGATCTTCAGTTGGTCCAGCACAGCCTCGATGCCCACAGAGTCAGAGGCCTCGCAGGGCGGGGTCCTGGGGCTCGAGGGTCGCGAGGAGCACGGGGAGGAGGATCGCCTCAGGGGATCCATGGGGCCAGGCGCAGCGATGCCGATGGCGCCTGTCATCCGTGTGGAGGGAGAAGCCGCCTGTGGCTGGGCTTTCTCGTTTCTGAACCGACGCCACATTCTGTGCCCCCTGCTCTGCCCGAGGCCCACCGTCCACGGCTGGGGAGACTTGAACCCCCACCMAGAGGCTCAGCCCAGAGGCCTGCCCTTCCCACCCCCAGCACAGGTGACTCTGGGTCTAGGGGCTCTGCRCTCAGGCAGGCCAAAGCCCAGGGGTGCACTGTGGCTGGATGGGGTCCTGGAAGGGGCCACAGGAAGTGGGGGGTGCAGCAMAGGGCTCTGCCCAGCAGGGACCTCGGAAGGGGGCTCTTGGAGGAGGTGCCCCACTCTCCTCCCGGGGGACACATAAGCGGAGTGAGCAGAGCTGGAGAGCCAGAGAGACACATAAGAGCGAAGAGGACACAGACACAGAGGGACTGACCAAAGCCCAGGCTGCGAGGGCCAGGGAAGACGGCCTTGGAGAGAGGACAGTGGCCAGTCCAGCAGAGGAGCAAGAGAAAGATTCAGCCTCTGGTGGCGCCTGGCGGAGTCCCTGTGGGAGCCACTGGGGGCCTGGTGCACGTGGTGGGGGAGGGGAGGGTGGCAGTTGACCACAGAATCCAAGCTCAAGCCTCCGCCCTGTGACCCCCACCTGCAGCAGGAGAGGCCAAGGAAGCGGCCCTCCTCCCGGCCCTACCCTGCAATGCCTGGAYGCCGGCCAAAGCCCACTACCACCCCTATGTGCGCCAAGGTCCCCAAGGTCACCAGCTGGGCTTGGTTCTTGAGTTTACACCCTGAACCACTCTGCTGGGGAAGCACACCCAGACCCCCACAGAACATCCATGCACTTTCTTTTCCTTTTGGACTGGGGATTGAAACCAGGTGCCTCCTGKGGAGCCACATCCCCAGCCCTTCATGCTCTCTGAGGCAGGATCTCCCTAAGTTGCTTAGGGCCTCATTGCTAATTGCTGATGTTGGCCTCGAACTTGTGGGCCTCCTCCTCAGCCTCCTGAGCCGCTGGGATTACCACACCTGGCCCGGGTATTTTCTTTGGTCCATCAATTGTTGTCACCATCATGTTTTTAACTGCATCATTGAAAAACCAAGAGATCTGGCTGGGGACATAGCTCAGTTGGTGGAGAGCTTCCTGGCAGGCACAAGGCCCTGGGTTCAATCCCCAGCACCACACACACACACACACACACACAAAAAAAAAAAAAAAAAACCAAAACCCAAGAGATCAACCTAGAAAAGGGCACTTACCCTGCTCCTGGCGTTGCTCTGGGGGCCCTGGGATGCGGCTGGAGTATCACCCCTGATTCACAGATAAGGGAGGTCACKCTGGGTGTGGTGGCGCACACCTGTAATCCCAGTGGCTCGGGAGGCTGTCGGAGGATTGTGAGTTCAAAGCCAGCCTCAGCAATTCAGCAAGGCCCCCGGTAACTCAGTGAGACCCTGTCTCTAAATAAAATACAAKAAAGGGCTGGGGGTGTGGCTCAGTGTCTAAGTGCCCCTGGATTCACTCCCCAGTACCAAAAAAAAAAAAAAAAGAGAGAGAGAGAGGTCACACATAATTGAGGAAGTGGCTGGGCTGGGACTGAAGGCAGCCACTCGACGGAGTCCTCCTGCTTGTCCTCCCCCCCTCTTGCTCATGGAAATGTCTGGATTTCCATTTGCATCTTAGAGATGAGAACCCTGGCCAGTCGAGCCCTCTTCAGGCAGATCATGTGTTACACCAAACCTCTAGAGACCGCGGGATCTCTGACATCAAAGGGATACTTGAGTAATTACAGGTGCTGGGCAGACAAGGCGCAGGTCCTGGGGCAGGTCCCAGCGACTGCCAGCATCCCTCTACGTGGTGGGTGGAAAAGGTCCCCAGACCTGAGTGGAGGGACTCTTCAAGGTGGTGGGAGGGCCGGGCAAAAGCGGGCAGGGCTCTGAGAGAGGAGGGGTGTCTATGCTCCTGGATCAGTGGAGGTCATCAGCGGAGGTCAACAGCCCAGGAAGTTTATGAGTTGACACACAAAGAGGGTGTGAGGGCCCACAGCTGGCTGTGGTGGACTGAAGCCAAGGTGTCCACCCTCTTGCTTTGTCATTGAGATGGCCTCCACGGTGCTGATGGAGTCCACCTCTGAGCCCCACCCCGCCTGGGACTTCTCCCACCAGGGTCTAGCCTCCCTGCCTCGCTCAAGCTGCCATGTTCTTTCTTTCCTGCTTCCTGGCAGCTGACTTTGGAAGCCCTCAGCAATCCTCTGACCCTGGCTCTGGCAGACTCTCTGTAAAGGGGCAGACAGTCCTTATTTGGGGCTTTGCTGGTCCTGTTGCAAGGACTGCTCAGCTCTTCCCACCGCAGGCAGCTTGGAGGGGCCGCGAGTTGCTTGTGCAAGGCTGCAGCCTGGGGTCTGCCCTCCTGCTCTACCCCTTGGACTTGCCCCAGCACTGTCCTCCGTGTCCACTCCGTTCCCTGGCCTCCACTTCCTTGTGCTCAGACACCACAGGCTTGGAGGGCAGAAACAGGAAGACCAGGCCAAGCCTGCCTGGGCCAGGGTCCTCTCAGCAGGAAGTCTGGAGGCCCCTCTGCAGGGCTCCTGAAGGAGTGAGTGCGGTGGTCTCCCAAAGCAGAGTGAGTGGGGACTTTGCTAGGGTTAGGGTTAGTTGCTAGCAGAGACCAGATGGATCCAGTCACCTGTGGGCTGAGTCTGGGGATGTCCCCTAAAGAAATGAGCCTCTGGGCAGAGTGTTCCCGGGCAGCCGGCCTTCTGCAGGACTCTCTCACCCCTGTGCATGAAGAGTAATTCGGAAGTCGGGAGGGAAATGTCCTGGTGGCCACCGACAAGGACTGTGCGGTGCTGGCGTAGTCCAAGCCTTCCAGCAAACGCCGCAGACAGCGTGCTGACCTCAGGAAGTGCCTTGAGGTTGGATGAGCTCAGCTGTGTGGAGCCTGCACAGGAGCCCACAGAAGCTGCAAGTACCTGTCCTCATGTTGAGAATGCTTCTGCGAATCCTGGTAACCCGCAGAGGTGGACCTGTTAATGCGCTCATCTTACAGATGAGGAAGTAGGTATAGAAGGGTCAGGGAACATGCCCAAGCATGAGCGTTGGTAATTTTTTTTTTTTTTTTTTTTGGTACCAGGGATTAAACCTAGGATTGCTTTATCACTGAGCTACATCTCCAACCCTTTTAATTTTTGAGACCGGGTCTCCTTAAATTGATGAGGCTGGCCTTGAACTTGTGATCTTCCTGCTTCAGTCTCCCCAGTCTCTCAGGATTACAGATATACAATACCAAACCCAGTTTAATTTTTTTCTTCTTTCCTGCTAAACATTAAGAACCACAAGAACAAGAACTAGTGTCCCCCTGGTTTTTAGCCCTGCCTCTGGTCCCCAGTGGCCAAGGAAAGCAGGGAGGAGTGAGGGCTACTTCTGCTGGGGAGGGTCATAGGCGTGAAGGTCAGGGGCGGTGCCCCAGGGAAAGACCTCATCTGAAAGCGTAACCACTTCCTTGTGTAAGATCAGGCTAGGCAGGTGAGTCGGGCAGCGACCAAAGGAGGCAGATTTAAAAAGGCCAAGGAAGGAGGCTCTATGGAGATATCACTCCCAGGTGGAACTCGATCAGACCCACAGAGTGGACAGGAGAAGGGTCTGAGGAGAACCTGAGGGGAAGCCTGAGCGGACTGGACTTTTATGGGGCTTACAGCAGGAAGGGAAGGGCTTGGGAGGTGAAAAGATGTTTTTAGAGTCTCTTGTCCTGCTGGAGCTGGTCAGGGGAGCTGGCTGAACTCCAGGATTGGCCAGGGGGTCCTGCTGATTGACAGGTGTTAGTCAGGAGATCCTGCTGATTGACAGGCATTTCTGTCAGGCGCCTGATTGATGTTTCTTTCCTGCAAGGGTTGCTTTGTTCTAAGTTACCACCACAGACCCGGCACCTTGCAAGGGTTATTTTTAAGAATGAAAGATGTAGTGTGAGGCCAGCCACATCACCCCAGCTGCCCAGAGAAGGGAGTGGACCCTGGCCAAGCTCCTGACCCCTTCCCTCCACCTGTGCTCTCTTCTTCCTCTGGCTCTCTGTCCCCTTCTATCCACCAAATCAAAGGGCACTGAGTGCCCACCTATTCCAGGTTGCTTGTCTGGTATGTTGAGAAAAGGTAAAAATAAGATCTTGCAAAAGAAGGAGCGAGCAGTACCGGGGCCAGCTGGGGCCTTGGGCCCCTGTCCCCAGGGTCTGGCAGCCCTGGCTGGCCCTGGGGAGGGCGGGGCTGGTTGCCAAGGCCTCAGGTGGTGTGGATCCGGAAGCAGGAAACAGTCTGTGCTCTCAAGGCTGGAACTGCCTGGCCAGCGGAGCAAGGCTTCCTGGAGGCAGGTGGCACCTGGGGGCAGCCCTGGGGGGAAGAGGGAGCAGGACAGGGCTGCAGGGGGCTGTCTGGGCTGGAAGGGTGGGGCTAGAAGAGGAGTGGGAGGCACGGGGCCTGAGGCAGGGCCGGCTGAGGGACAGGTGGTGAGAGCTGGGCAGTGGCCGTGGCCGGGGACAGGGGGAGCAGAGGGGCTGGGCCAGGGAGGCCTGAGCTGGCCCAGGGTTCTAAGGTCACCCTCTGGGGGCTGGAACAGCTGGTTGCTGCAGAGATGGGCCTGCCTGCGGAGGAGCTGAGGCAGGAGCTGGAGGTCACAGCCCAGGAAGTGCTGGGGAGACTGAAGAGCCGCCACCTCTTCCAGTCCGAGTGGGACACCGCTGCCTTTGTGGTCTTCCTCATCTTCACGGGTGAGTGTGGCCGGTGCCCTTGGACCCTAAAGGCCCATCCCAGGGCCAGGCCGGAGCCCATATCTGCACACCCGTTCTGCTCCAGGCACCGTGCTGTTCCTGCTGCTATTGGTCATTGCCCACTGCTGCTGCCACTGCTGCTGCYCCTCCCCCAGGAAGATGAAGGTGAGCCCAGGGGGGGCAGCCCAGGGGGGGCAGCCCGAGTGGGGAACAGTTGTAGCTCTCCTCCTCCTAGGTGGCCCCATTTCCCAGGACTGATCCAGGAAGGCAGCCTGGATCTGCGTCTGCACCAGGGCTGGGCAGGGCCTGGAGGGGCGGCTGGGAACCCAGCGATGCCCACAGCACCCCTCTGCCTTACAGGAGAGACCTCAGGGAGTGGACAACTTGGCCCTGGAACCTTAATGCCTCTCCCTTGGTTTGTGTCCTGCTGGTGATGGTAACAAAGCTGGTGGTGTCTGCCCAGAGCGTGTGTCTTGATTGTTCCTAGCCCTGCTGCCTTGGGATGCCCGAGCGTTCCTCCAGGTCACCCGGTTCATGGTCTCTGACAGGGGGCCTCAGCTCCCAAGCGGAGCTCATCCCCTTCCCACTTGGCTCATGGACAACCAGGGAACGGACCACGTGTCCCCAGATGGGTGTGGCGAATGGGGTGGGAACCACTGACCACCAGAACCCCAGCTGGCCCCCAGGCAGACAGAGACCAGGGCTGCAGGCAGCCTGATGATCTTTATTTTGTAGAGGCTGCCCGCAGGGCAGAGCGAAGTCAGGGCAGTAAGCACATTCCCCGAGCAGCTTCCACCTGCTGAGCCTCCTTCCTTCCTGCCATCTTCTGCCAAATAGGCTGGGCTGCCTCTCATCCCCCGGAGGAAGCTGTAGCCCTGGGCCTCGCTGTGGACACCCTGGGCCATCTTCCCAGCCCTGCTGCCAGAGTTCATCCCGGTGTGCAAATGGGGGGGTGAGGGGGAGAAACAGCACGAGGTGCCCGCTCCGGGGGCACCACAGAGGAGTGTGTATGGGGAAGGGCCTCCATTGGGCAGGAGCCACCCTCTCGGGGGACAGGCTCCCGGGGCGGCCAGCTCAGAAGGGTCTGTAGCTCCAGTAGCTGGAGAACACGGAGATCTGCAGAGGGAGTGTGTGTGTGGTCAGTGGGTGCTGGGGCTCCCCTCAGCTCTAATCCCCTGCTGCAACCTCCACGACCAGGTGAGAGTCAGGTCACCTGAGGGCAGTGTGAAGTGAGGGCCCAGCAGCACTGTGGCCCAGCTGCCAGGTGTGTGGGAACAGTGGGCCACTCAGGTGTGCCACATGCCCTCGGGATGCTCTCCCCCCAAAAGAAGGGGCTCTGCCCTGCTCCTCTTGCCTCACAGCCCCCCACACACCTTGTCCTTGAGCTGCTGGCAGAGCTGCAGGGAGACGGTGAAGTACACCAGGGCGTCGTTGAGCCAGGGGACCACACACTCCACCTTGTGTACGTGGCTCACCTCCAGGCGCTGGGCGCCCCACTCGCTGGAGAGGAGGTGCGGTTCCTGAGGGCTGGCCAGCCCCCGGCAGGCAGAGGGGTGGCAAGGGGGTGCCCCAGGACCCCTCCCGGTACTTACAACATGGCCCCGGGGCTATGGAGCACGGAGCCTCCAGCTGGGCGGAAATTCTAGGCAGAAACACAGGACCCGTGAGGCCGAGGCAAGGCCCCGGCTGGCGCTCTGGAGGCAAGGTCTGCTCACCTTGGTGGAGTTGGGCTGCAGGGCGTGCAGCTGGTACACCGTGAGGCACAGCTTGTTGAGGTTGATGTAGACGTTGACCAGCAAGTCCGACGGCAGGCTGGGGGCAAACATCCTCTGGGGAAGAAGGGGGGTGAGGCCCCTCCCACCAGGCTGCACCCCTGTGGGGTGGGTATAGTTCCTGCTGCCTCCTAGGCACCCAGCACCCAGCCCAAACCCGCACCTGGGACCAGGGTTTCAGACTTCCCAGGTGCCCTGGGACCCTCCTGTGCTGTTGGGTTTGGAACCAAGGCCCAGAGCAGAGCAACACATGGGGGGGGGGGGACACAGGGTGGCAGTCACGACTGTGTTCCCATAAACCAGACACAATTCAGACCCCTGCAATTTGGGGTCGGCACTTGTGTCCTTTCCAGGGGACAAGCTGGACCTGTCTGTGGGACCCCTCTCTCGGTGTGGGGGCTGCCCGAGGCACTGACCGTGAGGCCGCTGGCGGCAATCTCAGGCAGGGTGAGAGTGGCGGGGGTCGTGAGCCGGTTGCGGGCTCGGGTCAGCTGCAGCATCACAGCGTCCATGAGCTGGGGAAGGTGGCCACAGCTGCTGTGAGGGCCACTGGTCTGGTCCCCACCCTCCCTAACAGCACCAGGGAGCAACAGTCGTAGCTCTGCTCCTCCTAGGTGGTCCCAGTGCCCAGGAGCAGGGCTGGGGACAGCCGCCACTCAGAATCTGCTGTGTGGGGATCTTGGGCACCGGCCCACGGGAGGCAGGGCACAGGCTTTATGGATGGGGCATAGGCAATGAAGGAGCTGAGAAGAGGAGGTGCTAACCCCACTTGGATGCAAGAGGCCAGTGAAGGCTTCCTGGAGGAGGCTCAGTTGAGATCTTGAGTTTTCCCAGGTGAGGAAAATAACCCTCCAAAGGGGTAAGCTAGGTCATACTGCTGGTGAACAGTAGAGGCACTGTGAGCCCTTTCTTCCCTTGCCAGGGAGCAAAGCCCTGGCCAGGTCAAGAGCCCCACCTCCCATGTCTTCTAATGTTCATGGAGCCTGTTGGTCATGGAGGTTCAGAAAGGGTGGATGAACCACCCAAAGACACACAGCAAGTCAGAGGCAGAGCTAAAGCATTCAAGTCAGCTCTTCCCACAAGTAAATCTCTTGCTTTGTCTTTGTCATTAATTAAAAGCTTAACTCTGGGTCCCAGAGTGAGCCACTACGTGGTAGCTAGATAAGTGAACACTGAGAGGGGAAGGATCATCTTCGGTTACACCTGAGGACATGGGCCAAGGTCCACAGGCACAGGGCTCCCTAAGAGCCAGGGGGCCAGTGCTCTCCAGGGGCCTCGGCTAGATCAGGGCAGCTCACCTTGAGGACTTCAGCGCCTGTCTTGAACTGGTAGTTCTCATCCCGGTTGGCGAGGAGGTAAATAGCTTGGCTCACGTGGTTCCTCGCATCCTGGATCTGAGAAGAGCATCCATGAGAGGTTATGGGGCTGGGTGTCATCAGCTTCAGAGCAGCTGCATCTCTGGGAGAGGCTGGGCCAGCACACGGTGGGGACCTGACTTCCCAGGAGACAGCATCAATCTGCTCAGCTGAGTCCTCAAGGGCAAGGCCTGGCCCATGCTGGGCGGGAGGTGGGCCAGGTCTCTGCCCTTCTGTAGCTCACCTTCTAAAGCACAGACGATTGCAGAGGAAGTCCACAAGGGGACAAGGCTGGGGAACTCCCAGAAGGGCAAGCACAGCAAGGTGGGATGCAGAGGATGGGGTCAGAGGAGGCCCCTAGAGAGGCAACTCCTGGCTTGAGGCCTATGTGATAGGCAAGGCCAAGGGGGAGGGCTCCCAGCAGGAGATATACACACAGGCCAAAGCACTGAGGTGCAGCCCAGCCTCAGAAAAACAGCTCAGGAAAGAGGCTGGGCCCATGGCCTAGTCCCTGATAGGAAGCGTGATCTTGGTCCCAGAGCCATGAGAAGTTCCCGGAGGAGTGAGTGACTAGTTTAGGGGCACCATCAGCTGACCCCGCTGCGCCAGAGGGCCCCTAGGCAGGACAGGTTCTTTCTCCCTCTGTGGAGCAGGCCCTGGGGCTCAGGCACCGCCCACCCCAGCTCAGCTTCGCTGCTAGGCAACTCCCTCCCAGACTTGCTGTGGCCACAGATCCCCATGGCCAGCCCCAGGAAGGCCCAGCGTGTGGGCCTGCCCCTGCCTGCCCCTGCGGCCTGTGCCCTGGCCAGGCAGGGGCCGGGTCACCTGCTGCAGCTTCCACTGCTTGTCCTCTCTGAAGGCCAAGTGCAGCAGCTGGTTGTTCCGGGGCATCTTCAGATTCACATCCTGATGGGCAAGAGTGGAATAAGCAGGGCAAAGGAACATCCTATTTTGGGCCACCCTGTGCCCCGGAGCCAGGGGCAGGAATGGAGTAGCTGGTGGTTCTGTCCCCACAGGGCGAAGGGCCTCTCAACATCTTCACCATAGGGGCTGAACAGGGAGGCAGAAAACAGGAACTCGGGCCCAGGAGGACTCAGAGAGAAGGAAAAGGGAGAAGAGAGGTTGAGAAAGGGGAAGAACTGTAGGAGAATGTGGCCTTTGTGTGACAGTGGGCAATGGGGAGCATCTGTCAAGGGCAATAGACTGAAGCCACTGAAGAGAGGGACCTTCTTCCCCCATGGCTTGGTGCCTGGTTCAGGGCGGGGCGTAGACAGGCTCAGACGTTTGGCTGATTCACCTTTGATCCAGGGCCAGCCTAATCCTGCCAAGGCTCACGTTTCATAGGATCCAGACGCCAGGCAGGGCTGGGGGCAAAGTAGTGCCCTTCCCTGAATCCACATGCCAATCCCAGGAGAAGGTGCAGGGGGGTATTGTCATTTTACAAACAAGTAAGCCCAGGCCTAAAGAGGCCAAGAGTCTTGCCCAGAGTCACACAGATGGCTGGGGGACAGCTGAAGAAATCAGGAGGCCCCCCCCAGCTCTTCCACACTGACAGTACGGGAGAGGAGAGGGCCCGAGGAACTCACCGCCTGGCTGAGGGCATCTCCTTGCAGAGTCAGCACACCCTTCACCTGGTCTGTGCTACAACACGTGGGGGTCAGCGGGTGGGGGGGTACCCACTGTCCTCCCAACTGTGGAACCCTCCCAGTGGACCACCCTCTGCTGTTCAGCATTCTCCCTGGCTGTCATACTGTGCATTGCGTACCCAAATTAGCTTGCAGGACAGAGCCATGACCAGGCCTCCTGCCCCCAGGTACCGCAGGAGTCCCCCCAACTAAAGAACCCCTCCTCCAGGTGTCTGCCCACCTCAACTCACCTGCAGCTGCCCAGGATGAAGTTCTCCTGCTTGGCAGGCCCCTCAGTGCCTGAGCCTGGAAGAGTGAAGCGGAGGGAGGCCTCCTGCAGGGGACAAAGAGCACCTCTGTGAAGTCCACCCAAGTCCAGCCAGGATGCCTTCAGAGTGCCCCCAGGCCCCAGGTCATGAGAGGGGGGCATTGTGGGCTGGCTTGACCTGGAGCCTGGGGCTTAGCTGAGGCTCCAGGGCCCCTTCCTGAACACAGCCTGAGTTTCCAGTCCCAAGGGAGCCCAGACTTGCTCAAACCACACTCCTTGAGCACCTACTGTGTGGTCCCTACGGGGAATACAGGACAAAGGGTGGTCCCCCCAGCTGAGCTGAGGTGCTGGGGTGTGAGAAGCGAGTGGTGGAACAAGACAG